GAAACCTACAGTCACTGTAGTTACTTTAGCATTAGTTCCACAGGTTAACAGCACACAACAGAGTCTGTGAATCTATTTTTGGTCTGCACTCATGGTTCAGAAAACACCGGTTGCCTACATGAAGAAACAACTTGCATCATATCCTCCCGGACAGCTTGAATATGAGTGTGTGTAATCACTTTAACTTTTCAGACATACACTTTTCCTTTAAAAAAGCTCACACCTGACACACACCACCCCGACACTTTACAAATTCTAAGATAAATAATCACTCCTGTACAGACAAAAAAGTCCAGATTAATCAAACCCTCAGAGTGTGACTGAAATAATATAAAAGTATTCTGAATACTAGTCATTATCCCCGAGTATTTTCCATTTTTCCATCTTTTAAATTCACACCTCCTCCATCTCTGGAAAATCCAGCATGAATCAACATTCACATAACTGCGATTTCAAGACTTTAACAACTGGATACAAAGAAACCTGATTTTGTGCAGTGATGTTTATCAAAGGGAAGCCATCCAACATGCAACACGAGGAGGACGCCAGCTTCAACCAACCATTAAATGCAGTCATGCAGTCACCTCCCTGCACTTATAGGTTCAGTGTTGCCAAAATCAACCCTGTTCCAAAATACTTTGCAAATGATATTTGTCACTGACTTTCCTCCATAGTCGATGCAAATGACAGTCAGTATTATTCAAGTCATCACACATTAGAGCAACCTCACAATGATAACTATGTTTTTGCAAAAGTAAACTCAAAATGCACTGTTCCAAATGATTATGCAGTTTCAAAATCTTTTATTGGTTGTAAAGAACTGAAAATTGGTCATTTGCTCAATATGCAGCATTACTGAAATCAAAAGCTGTTTCAATCAAAAACATCTTAACAAACCAAGTTACATGTTAACATGGGATCCCTTCTTTCATAGAACCTTCGCAGTTCTTGCATCCATTGAACTTGAGTTCATAGATCTTTTCCTTGAGTATGCTCTAAGGTTCTCAATAGGGTTGAGGTCAGGGGGGCATGAGGACCACGCCATGAGTTTCTCCCCTTTTATGGCCATAGCAGACAATGCCACAGAGATATTGTTTGCAGCATGAGCTATATTGTCATGTACCCTAGCCTTAACATCCTCTTCTGTCACACCAACCCTCTGCATCACCAGACACCCCACGATGATTTTTATCATTTTTCAATATGGTGAATATTGTGTCAAAATATATTGTGATTTAGCAATTTTTCCTCAAATTTAAACTTTCATTATCAGTTGTATCCCACAAACAGCTGGCAGCCAGTAGCATTGCGCTCATTGACGAAGAGTCATTCAGACTGATGGCAGCATGTTGGCAATCTGTCTGTGTTTATAAGCTAGACAGCACTTATTTGCAAGCCTTGATCAGTGTCTCTAAGAGTGACTGGAGTCAGTCCAAGCACGATTGTGACTGTCTGCAGAAAGGTGGCCTCCTATCAGGGGACTTGTGCAATTTCCTTGTGATCAAAAGTGGTCATAAGTGCAAGATCATCAAGCTGTGAGCAACCACAAGTTATAATCTGTTGCATGCAATCACCAGGCAGACATCAGTTCTTTTTAAGCTATAAGGAGGTAGCTCTACTACTTTTACTCCTGTGACTGAGCCATTAGCTTGCTCTCGAACAGTTGAACCAATTTAATGCAAGTTTGCTCAGCTAACGTTATCTCAGGATGGTGGTTAAAAAGAGCTGAAGGCATTTAACTACAAAATATTAATATTTGGTGGCCCTGTGTCTATGAAGCATCGCCTTTTTCTCCCTCCACACCTACTACATGTCCTCCTTCACTACATCCATGAATCTCTTCTGAGGCGTTTTCTTTTTCCTCCTGTCTGGCAGCTCCATTTTCAACATCCTTTCTCCAATAGATCCACTCTCCCTCCTCTGCACATGTCCAAACCATCTCAGCCTTGAACTCAATTGATTTCTTTTCATTTCTATCTAAATATTAACATTTTCAGCTCGGTCTTGTCTCTTTTTGTCAGAGCCACTGTTCCAAAACATTCATCATAGCAAGACTCGCTACCATCTAGTAAACCGTCCCTTTCACACTTGCTGCTCTCCTTCAAAACCACTTAATTAAAATAAATATTTGCATTAAAACAGCCAAGAGCTTCCGTGGTTTGCATACGGGAAATTACTCCTGAGCTTAGCCGCCAATTTCACTTAAACAACACACTTGAATGCTTGTTTTAAGAAACCCCATTAATAATTAGCTTAATAATTTTGCATTTGTTATTGAACAGTCTGGCTATATAAGCCACACAAATGACGGCTGTGTATCGTTTCCTGCGGGGGGAACAGGTGATCAGTGGGTCCGGGAGCTAGTACCGCCCTCCAGCCTAACGCCAGCTCTCAGCCGCCCATCCCACCACAATGTCCGTGCGAGCACCGCTAGGCTAGCGTTGCTCGCTGTAGCCGGTAAACAACCGCTGGAAAGACAAATGTGCGCAGGGGTAAAGTCAGCTCGGGAGCATCCTGTCGTTAGAGGGTAAAAGTGTTTCGTGCATTGAAGCCGGGGTTTAAAAAAAGAAAAAATGGGGAGCATGTCGAGGAAATAACGAGTTTGCCGCTTCTTCAGTTAGCCTTCGGATAAATATGGTAGCATAATGTTAGCTGGAAAGGTTTATTAATATTGTTAGGCTTTTAAATATGCCACTAAACCGTCACAGGGACCTCAGTGCTTTTTAAAATCTAGCGCAATTATCGGCTCGTTTCTCAGCCGTGTATCCGAGGTAACAACTTATCGTACCTTCCAGGCTAACACCGAGCTAACCCACCTCGTCAACGGTCCTCCGCGGAAGGTGCAGCATCCCGAGCAGGAGTTTCAGCTTCACCGGCGGCGACAAGCTCGAAAAACATAGCCGTATGTTGTCGATAACCGACACGGTGAGGAGCGAAGCGATGCTCGGAGGCGTCCAGAGCTCGTCCGTGGATCCTAGTTTGTTGTGAAGCCACAGGCCGGTGTCGCTGTCCTTCATCGACGCCATCTTGGAAAAAGAAGTGTTTTGAGTTCGGGCATTTTAACAGGCTACCTAAGAAAACAGCAGTCAGGACCCCGCCCATAACCCGGGGTGGGGTGGGGGGCAATTGTGAACGCAGAGCCGTGAGGAGACCGGGTGAAATCCACCTTTAAGTGTGGAACTGTACACAGTGTGTGGTTAATAAAGTTTTAAGAAGGAAGGTGTAAACAAGGGCAGATGCGGGAAGTCTTTGTTACCTCATGTAATACAGTGCTACACATCTGCCGAGCAGAGAAACATCTGTATTGTCATAGTAACAGGTTATTTCAACCCTGCCCTGTCACAGTTTACTACACTACTGGCAGCCACACTTCTCACTGGTCCCCGATATTTGCTATGCTGCTTTTACTGCATTTAAGCAGCCTGTTATGTTAAACCACAGCACATCCAACGCATTTAATCGATGTCATATGTTTGCTGTGCTTAACTTTCCCACCTCTAGGATGAATAAAGTATATTATTGTTATGTCCTCTTATCTTAAAATGTGTTTTCTTCGGGCTGCGACCTTTAGGAGTCGCCACAGCAGTTCACCTGCCACCGTATCCCTGACATCTTCCCCTGTCACACCAGCCCTCCCTCACTACATCAATGAATCTTCTCTGGGGCTTTCCTCTTCAACATCCTTTGTCTAATATATCCACTATCCCTCCTCTGCACATGTATAAACCATCTCAACCTTGTTTCTCTAAAGATCCAAACTGCTGAACCTGAGCCATCAACCATTTCATCATGAGTCCATCTTTTTGTCAGTGCCACTGTTCATACATCGCATCAGGTCTCACAACCGTCATGTAAACTTTCTCATTCACTCTTGCTGCTATCCTGACACTTGTCTCCACCCAATTCACCATGCCTGCATTCTCTTCTTCACCCCTCTCGTGCACTTGTCTTTTGCTTTAGGTGGTTGACTCCAAGTATTTAAACTCATCCACCTTCAATATCTGTAAATGTTCACCTCTCCACATGTTTCCCTCTCATTCACACACACGTCTTGTGCCTTGCTTTTACTTGATTTCATTCCTCTTCTCTCCTGTGCATACTTCCACCTGCTCCACACTCTCTCCATGGATCACAGTGTTATCTGCAAGCATCATAGTCCACAGAGACTCCAGCCTGAACTCATCTGTCAGCCCAGTTGTCACCACTGCAAACAAGAAGGGGCTCAGAGTCCATCCCTCATGTAATCCCACTCCCACCTTGATCTCATCCGTCATTCCTACTGCACACCCACCACTCTGTTATCATTCATGTCTCGCACCACCCTCACATACTTCTCTGCTATTCCTGGCATCCTTATATACACTTTCTCTAGATCCACAAAGACATCTTAAATGAGCTTGCTTCACTAATTTGTGCTGTTTACAAGAATTATATAGTCAATTATTATTTGCTCTTACTTATTACATGGGATATTAATTGGATATGTATCTATATCTTTACACTGTATAGTCGCCTCATTTAATGCCAGACTATAAACATGTAAATGTCAAAAACATGAAGATTCAGTGTGCTGCAGTAACAGACTAACTGTTTCAGTTTAGTGCTTTTGTTCAACGTGGCTGTAAATCGCGCACCCTATTTTAAAAAGAAAATCATAAAAATGTAGTTGTATTTGATTTATATTAATGTAAAAATAGGTCAATGGAAATACACAATTTTAAATATTGGAATTATAGCTGAAACTGTGCATGTATGTATATACTGCACTCAATTTACGGAATAAAATGCAGTATTGATCTCTAAAATGTAGCTAATCAAATGAAGTATCTTTAATAATAATAACTATACTGGTTCTTACATTGAGTTTTTAAGTAAATATTGCTCTCTCGAGCTCTCTGTCTGTTATCCTGTTAATGATCATGCATGACCTACCCATCAATAAACTCTACGGGTAAGCTGCCCATCAAGGCTTTTATTTTTTTAAGTGCTGTCACCGGAAGTCTCGTTTTCGAGGCCCCTGGAGAAAATTTCAGCCAACCAACACGCATGCGCACTAATTTAATCTCCATACAACAGTACTCGGTGGGCATCTTGCGCTCATCTGGCGATCTGCAAACCATCATCGGCCGATTGACGGTAGGTTACCGTGCAGGTGGTCAGATAAGCGGTAATTACTCTGTGCGGGCTGAGCTTTTAAACACATACAAACATTTACTGGTTGGAAACTGGAGCATTATCTGAACAAAGCCCATCATTTCCCCCCCTCATTTGATTGGCTGACGGCCGTGTAGGACATTTTCTGCCCTTTAATTTATACATTTTGCCTAATTGTACTCTCCAGATCAGAGGTGAGTAAGGGATCGCACCGTCGCCATGGCATCCAGCGGGTATGTGCAGGCAGTGGTGCTGCTGCTGGCGCTGCAGCTCGTCTGTGTCGGGGCAGCTGATGCGGATCATGAGACGGGGACTGTCATCCCTGCCGAAAGTAGGTGGATTTAAAAATTAGATTAATTTTTTTCCTCCGCCTGTTGAGTACAAGTTTTGAGATGTTTTAGACGAGTATGTGTCCGCCACGGTGATCTTTCCACAGTCTAATGACTGCAGGTCTCACAGGGGTGCTGTTGAGGGAATTGTAGGTCATCTTAATTAATGTATGCTTGGATCATGAAACTGGGCCTCCACTGCTGCTTAAAGGCACACATACCGAGCAGGTTAGAAGGAAAATACACATAAGTGTGACTTCATGGATGCTCAGGTAGAAAAGCTTGATTATGTTGTTTGTAAATTAAAAAATCTAGATGAGAAAAAAAATCTAGATGAACACTTCCACAAAGCTAAATTCTCTATATTTGTTTAAAATATTTGTTTCTTCAAATAAATGATCAATTCAAAGATGACAAAGCACAGCAGTCAGTCGCTTTCTGCTACAGACTAATCTCATTAATAAGATTTATGGTTCCTTTTTGTAAATGATGACTCTGGGTCAGATCACTGATTCTCTACTTCTACTCAATACACTTTATAGTTTACGTCTGCAGCCACAAGAACACACCAAATCAGCATTAAATTGGAGTCTAATTTGATGCTTTCCAGTCATGCACACATACAAAAAAAATCCAGGCTCAAAATGTGAAAAACCATGAGTGTGTGTTCTGTTGTGTTAATGAAAAAGTGAAAAAAGCAAGATTCACAGTCATTTAGAGGTCATTGAATTGCATTCACATTATCATTATCAGTGATACATTCACCTCATAAATCACGGCATGCTACTCCCACCTACATCATTTGCATTTAGAAGTATCGGTGATACTGGCTCTGTACTAACTTGGTATCTCACGCCGCTGCCTTTGTTTCTGAACTCATTTCTGCTGTTTCCAGGTCGCCCGTGTGTGGACTGTCATGCCTTTGAGTTTATGCAGAGGGCGCTGCAAGATCTAAAGAAGACCGCTTTCAACCTAGATGCCAGGGTAAGTCCTCTCTAATTTCCTTTTCATTCTAGAGACTACTGCAGAGATTCATGCACCAGCTGATGTATTTCATAAAATAAATGATCTTCATGAGCCTTTGTGGGAGGGGTGGCAACTGCTTCTATCAGTTCCCATATTGTTATATAGTAAATGTGACATTATGTGATACGTTTTAGTATATGTTAATGTCTACATCTGCATTTTAGCGCAGGGTTAGTCCTTTTTCATTTATTTCCTGGTTTTTAGATATGAAAATTGTGGAGCGCAGCTTTTAGAGATTGCTGTGCTTCATTTTCCAAATGACCTCAGACACCCACACACTCCCATCACTGTGCCAAAGAGCAGTCATAATACCTGTGCCTATAAATTCCTGTGCTGCAAAGAATAGGGATTTTTTTTTTGTCGCTATAGTTTGGATTGTTGTGAAATATTTTTGGAATTTGTACATTTTACACTTTAACTCCAAGCACACCGAGCTTACGTGTGAACTGTAGTACTGATTTCAATTCAGGGCACACATACCTGCTTTTGGATCAGCTGATATGACTTTTATTCTCTGTTTATATAATTTAATTGTGTGGACCCAAGAAATGAAGGTTAATGCGACTGAAAACAATCGCTGCACCCCTCGATTACTCTGACAGACAAGGAGATAAGTTAGATCCAGCCACTGTGACCCAAACAGCATGGCCAGTTGCCAGGAGGGGGGGGGGTTAAATGGATTGGTCCAAATGGAAATGAAGGGAAAGGTCTAGGAGGAGAATCTAAAGCTGAGTGGAAGGAGGAGGAAGGTAGAGGCTGGAGACAGAGAGGAGGTGTAAGATGTGCAGAACTGTGCTCAACCTAGTGAACAGTCTACAATCAGGCAGCGTGCTGGAGATGGTACGATTTATTTATGGCAGGAAGTGCTGAGCGGCAGCTGGTGACCCGACATCCCACGCACCTCACTCCACTCCTGTAGTCAAACACAGGCGCACAGAGAGGCTGGAGGAAACGGAGCAAGAGAAAGTGGCATGACACTTTACACTGTGCACAAGTTGCTGTAGGAGAACATATCCTAATATGACTAATATTAATATGACTGTGGATTAAGCAGCATCCATTATGGTATTTTCAGCTGTGTTCTTAGAACTAGAGTAGCTCTGTATCTGATTGGCTGCCCATCGCAAACAAAACGTTTAAACAGCAGGTGGGCGGGGCTGCTCTGTGCCTGAGAGGACCACATCAGGAGTAATCCCTTTTTGATTTTATACAGAGCCAAGACTAAAAATGTTGACGAAGATGAAAGTTTAGGGCAGCCTGAAACATGAACTGTTAGCTCACAGGGATCATCTGTCTACACGTTGACACATTATTCCTGACCACGAAACATCAAAAGTATAACGACGGGCAAGTTCAACAGTATTTCTTAGTTTTTTTCTACATGATAAAGAAATGCTGCTGTAGTAATGAAAGAAGTGTGTCAGCATGATTTAAGCTGTAAGATATAAATGTAAGATTAAAGAAAAATGTTCGGTTACTAATGTAACCCCAGTTCTCTGAAACCCGAGTGAGGTATCTCACAGAGTGAGGTTTGAAAGAAAACAGAAAGTTTCTGTTACTTCACTGAAAATAGCATGTTGTTTTTTATTGTAGACACATTGTAGAAAACAGAAATCTGTAGAGTTTATTGCAATTTGTTTTTTTAAAAAATATTTATATTACTTAATTGCTTTGGTGTAGTATCAGGAGAAGCTGCAAAACCTATTAAAATATAATTTAAAATTCCAAAATGTATGCTCTCCTCCTCGGATTGGAGTCCATGCCGGGCTGATTATGTTTGACACTCGTGGATTCTTCTGTGTACCATGATGAGATTGAACAACTTCATCAAAATGGTGTGAAACTAATCGTCTGATTCCAAGCATCACTAAATCAGAGAAAATAGTTATTGATCATGAACCAGTGCTCATCAGAATCCACTCAATAACTGTCAGCCGTCCTCATATAAATATTTAGCTGTTGGCAGATACACATCAATAATCTGTGTGCAAGCCTGCAGCAGTGATTCAGAGCTTGCTGATGCTAGAGAGCATCCTTATTAAATATGGAATTGCAATGGTTTGGCAACTTAACAGCAGGCTTGGATAAAACAGCCATGAAGGTCATGGGAATACGAGTACGGGCCTTACAGAGCCCGTGTGAGCATGCTGTTACAGAACAAGCAACAAAGCACACTGCACATCTTTCCTCTCAAGGCAAACCTCTGCCATCAGGAAGAAGACTCAGGAGGGCCAAAGTGCAAAACAAACTGCCTGAAGCTATTGTTCCTTCCAGCCTCCAATAAGCTACTGAACTGCAGAGTTACAGACTAGCAGAATAAAAAACGATGTGCAAGACATGGACAGTAAGCACTTTGTAAACCTTAGAAATTCTTTGTAATTCAGTTAAACCTCTTTATTCAGTTTTCTTTTATGTTGATGTTTATGTTTTATTTGCAGTCGTGATGTTGTGGCTTATATTTGTTTAAATCTGCGAGGTTTGAAAAAGCTGTCATGTAATAAAAATCCCGTGGCAGCATCTATGGTTAAAACTTAAACTGTAAAATTATAATTGTATCAAAATATCACAGGGAAATACAAACCCTAATCGAAGTAAACTGGGATACTGTGCAATTATTCACAATAGAACATAGAAACATATCAAATGCTTTAAATGAAACGTTTTAATATTTGATTTTTTTTAGAACATTTTGCAGCTGATGAAGACAACAGGTCAGAAACCTGATATTTAATGTAGTAAAATGTTGTGGTTTTTTTGTTTGTTTCCTGCTGCAGACAGAGACGCTGGTGCTGAGGACGGAGAGGAGGGCTCTGTGTGACTGTATGCCCACCAACTCGCTGCGCTGAGCTCCTGAGGACACGTCCCGCTCTAACAGCAGCTCGACACACTTCAAAAACAACTCTGTCCAGAACCTCTGCTCATGTACAGCAGCTCTCATCTTTGCATATTCACACAATAGGCACTTTATTTTGTTTTCTCTCATGTCACTGTTCAGTGAAGCTCTGATTTAAAGTCACGAGGCATGTTTTCGTTCTGCCTTATCTGGGATGACTTTTATACCGCTGACATGGTGTATCAGACGCCTGTGAACTTAGATTGTTTTCACTGACAGCCGCTCTCATGTGTCTCCTATAAAGCGTAAACATTTTTGGACTTTTTCGACTGTATAATGTGGATAGGATGTGGTACGTATCTGTAAACTTGTTGAATGTCTTGTACGAGGTTAAGGTTTACACACATTGAACTGTAGCATCACACAGAGTTCATTCAACGGCTCAACATTAGATTTCGGTTAGTTAAATTATTATTAGGAATCTGACAGTAATTGACTGATTCAAAGGAATTGTTTGGGAGGTTTACAAATGAAACATTTGTAAAGAAATGAAGTTTTACCTCTTTGCAAAAGGGGACTCGTAGGTCTTGATTTAGCACAGCACTGTAGCATGAATTTTCAGCACTTTTATTTAACCTGTTGTTAATATCGATTGTATGTATAGATTATGTACATGTAGACGGGTATGTGGAACGGAGGAGTCATCAGCAGGGGAGGGAGGGGTGAACAGACCTGCAGCAGGGAACATGGAAGTAGAAATAGTAACTGTCTTACTGTTGCTTGTTAATAAACAGCGTATTTATGTCACAATGAGCCCCATTCACTGTCTTATTGTTGCACCTTTAAATAAAAACAATGAATGACCTTTACTGCTTGTATTCTAATGAATTACAGTCCATTCAGTTATTTTCATTGCTTCTTGGTCATGCAGCTCACCAGTCAGGCATTAACAGTATGACTGCTGACAGCTAATAACATTCATCATCTCGTCATCATAGCACCCATTGGTGACATTTTTTCCTCAAAGTTGAGGTGTTAGGAGGGAACATGTGCAAGTGTAAGAATTTGACCAAACTGTGATGCAGCTCTTGTGGGGTGTTTGGACAATGCTCTGCTGGGAAACCTTGGGTCCTGTTTCTTTGACATATACCACCTTTTGTTGTCCCTTTTGCTTAACATTGGCCATCCAAAGAGAGAGATGGTGTGAAAATCAACCAACACAGTGGTTGTAGAGAATCACCTCTGTGTTCTCCATCAAATGGCCCAATGGGGAGCCAGAATGCTGTTTGGTTGGAATGGGAAAGCAAATGACAGCAGAGTTCAACACAGAGGAAGAATCCCCCAAAATCACCAAAGACACTAAAATGTGCCTTTAGGTCCCAAGCCATCAGCCCACATGTCCAGCAGTCATCAGCTACACAGATGTCATGATAAGCTAACCAAAGGAGGAGATATCCAGATGTGAAAATTCCTTTCCATGCATGGAGGCTTTTATCCAAATCCAGGACCCTGCAGCTCTGCGAGCAACAAAAAAGTGGAGTGCCAGTGCCATGATCCAGGATGAAACAACCAGCATGAATACATCGGGAAGCGTGTCCCTGAGATGAGCTGCTGCAAGAGTGCTTCAGGCAGCTGATAGCAGACAGGGATGGTGGTAAGGATGAAGAAGTATTGTGCAAGATCAAGCCTTGCCATGTAATGTACGAGTGACAGACTGAAGAAACCCTACCAGTGGCTAGTCCATGACAGTACATAAACAAGCCCCAAGAGGGCTCCAGATCCACAGAGGCCAGCACACAGCTATCACAGCCGATCCAAGTTACAGACTGTGCAAAGACACCATAGAGACAGTCGGGCATATAATAGCAGCAGTGTTCATTGGATGACATAACCAAGTCGCTAGGATAGAGTACAGGAACATCTGTGCCCCATATGTACCTGGCTGAGATCAACACGGCTAAGGTCCTCAGGTACTTCAGCCTCCAGACAGACAAGTAGCTGTTGGCCAACCAACCAGACATAATGGTGGTTGACAAGGAGCAGAAGCAGTTGTGATAGTTGTGGCAATCCCAGCGGACAGCAAGATCAGGAAAAAGGAGCATGAGAAAACAGAGACGTACCAGAGGCAGATATCTTGAAGCATTCTCAATCATCCAGGTAAAGAAGCCCCAGAAAGGTTATTTTGTTCATCTGGACAAAGTTGAAATGTTGTGTCACTTCAGTCTTTGGGCCCTCATCTCAGTATTTTATTTGGCTGAGTGACGAAAAATTTCTATTACTGAAAACGCTTCATCCAGATGAACAGAATCAGCTTTCTGAGAACTGGAGCAGATGTGGAAGTTAAAGTCCAAAGTGGTTCCAGTGGTCAAAGGAGCATTAAAGGAGCTGTAACTCCAGCAGACCCAGCACAACATCAGAGGTCTCCGTCAAGAGGAGTGCAGTTTTAGGAACATCTATGATACTGTGCAGAACCCAGGCCTCTGCTAGAGGACTTGAGCTTGGGGACACATATCCCTGTAAAACGTATTAGATGTTGTCTAGACTTTGTCAAACGATCTTTTCCTCAGTAGAAGATCGATAAAAGATTAAATATGGAATGACCTGATATGCGGCTCTCAAAGATGCCAAAGGTCGTGCTTTTTTAGCTGACTTCATCTCCTCCTACATTACTAACATTTTTTTCTATTTAATTGCAACAGGGATTACTGTTGTAGGTGCCACATCTCTACCAGCAGGAGGAGCCCTAAGTAAAGAAGGACTGCCAGCTGTGTCGCAGTGATGCAGCACTCTGTAGTCCCCTCATCTATAAATGAGATGGGCTGAAATCTGTAAAAAGATACAGAAAGAGGAAAACCGAGGAGCTACGTTGGCTCACGGAGTGCCCGCAGTCACCTGGCAGGAGTCGCAGGCCTGAGGCATCACGGCGCACCGCAGGGCACAATGGAGGCAAATCCCCTCATACTGCACCACAGCACACACAATCACAGGCAACTGAAACGTCCTGCTGAGGCAGCTTCACCCCGTCAGGCTTTTACTGGTTTGAGTGATTGAGCTTCAGGCATGCAGGGATGCTGAGTTTACGCTGAATCACTCTCACTTCTTGTTGTCAAGCAGCCTCCACTTTCTTCCTCTCTCGCTCTTACTCACTCGCTGGCTTGTTCTCTCCACAGAGCTCTCTTTTATCTGCTCCGGGAAAAGCTGCCTGAATCATTGAACCAGCTGTTTGAAATTCTTTGACGGGGGGCAAGCAAGCAAAATCCTCTGGATTTTCTCTGGCTTTTATCCCTCTTTTATACTTGGGCATTGCTTTGACTTTGCCACAAAAGTTTCCTCACCTTGCGTGACCGTGGGACTTATTTAGCATACCAGAATTTAGCATACCAGAATTTAGCATACCAGAATTTAGCATACCAGAATTTAGCATACCAGTAGGCAGGATGAATGTGAGGCATGGAGGTTTATAATTCAGTCATGTACTATGTGTTTTATAAAGTTCAGTGACCACACTGAGGATAGATAGGCAGGCAGGTAATGTATGTGACAAAGAAAGAAGCAAAGTGCAGCTCTGCTTAATGATGCTACAGGTGAAAGACAGACAATGAAGCTCTCCCAGATGATTACTTAGATCATTATTTTTGAAGCCAAATCTGAGAAAGGTGTACTAATTTGTCATATTTATTCAGACTAGAGCCCAAAAAGATGGCAAATTAAAAACCTAAACACATCAAGCTCAAAATTCTTGTTTAAATGATTTGACATCTTAGAGTGAAAAGTTTCTACAGAGGGGATATTGTGTTATTTTATGACTCTATAAACCTGGAAATACTAACAATGAGGGAAAGGCTCAATTTTAGAGAAGAGTAGAAGAATAGAATAGCCCTTTATTGTCACTGTACATGTACCACGAAATGGGGAATGTAGTAAATCTCTGATTGTAGCTCCTCCGTTTTGTTTGCGAGGGATCGGCGTTGGTGATGAGATTTTCACTATATTATTAAACATAAAATGTTTTCAAAAGTCAATATAAACAAAAAAGACTTTAAAAACGTTTAGAAAGTAGTGAAAAGCTAGTACAACTAACTTTTCATTGCACTAATTTGCACCGATATCTGTATCAAGCCTCACTGTGGTGTCATAGCTTTGTTAGTTATTGGTCTTGTTTTTTTTAATTTATACATTATAATGACTATATTTTCAGGTTAGGTTTGCTGTTTGCCAAATTTAAGTTACCGGTACTTATGTTGGTTTGCTAGTTATAGCTTACAATAACATTAGCTAACTTCTTGGCTAATGCTAACTGAATAAATGAACATCATTGGACAGTTGGGTCACTGATTCTGGACCAACGTTATTCTGATAATGTATGAACAACACCAACACTGAGATGTTAGATTGTGCAAATGCCACAGTACACATCTTCCAAAACATTTTCTTTGCGAAATCCTCCAAATCCTGCTTCCGTTTGTCAGCTTTGTTGGCGAAAGCCACTTTGTCCACCAGTTAGAAGATATCATGTGACACACAAACAAGTCCAGTTCTTCTTGCAACGTTTCCCAGTTTCAATCAAACAATCAATCAAAACTAAACAATCAAATTTGTTAAAAACAATGAATTACATAATTTACATTTTGGAAAATAATTCATTCACTGACTAATATCCTTTTTCACTAAACCTGAACATATTAACTTGATTAAAAAAAAGAAAAAAAGAAGAACATGTCACTGAAAACAAACCATGTCAGATGAACTTGTTGGCATCTGAAGTCTGTAAATTACATTAAAGCTAAATAGAACAAAATCTAAAAATTAATCTACGCATAAAATCTTTGCCCAGTAATTTCTTGCCTTACAATATTTACATTTATTCTTATTTGAATACTTTATTTAAATAAAGTCACCCAACAGTTGTTTGCTCACTGCGTGGTTCAGGCGATAGTTACTCGAAAGCTCTAAATGCAGAATGAAGAACATTTTACCTGCATGTTTATGCTGTTATGGGAATGTAAAAAACTGATTCTGCTGATCAAATTCACGTCATTTATAAATGAAAATTAAATGAAAATTTAGTTAAGCAACAGAAAATACATTGCTCGCAAAATCTCTGCAGGCTTTTGAGATATATTATAATAAGATTCATATACACACACAGACACAAAGAATAAAAAACAAAGAGAACATTAATCTTGAAACTGAGACCAATATTTTTATTTCGTTTCAAAACATTTTTACTTTCCCTTATGTTTGAGACAGTGCCTCAGTTAATGCACTTAATTTGCCTTATATGGATCATGACCACGATGAAGCCACGAGCCTGGAGAGCTGCAGAGAAAGAGCAGATAAACATACATGTTAACATGTAAGCCACAAAAACATGACAGAGTATCACATTCTTCACTTGGTGAACTGCAGATTACGTTCTCTTGAGATTAAATGTTATTTTGCTTTATGATCTTTTCCCTTTATGATGGAAACAAAATGTTTGAAGAGTGTGAGAAGTATACTGAGACATACAGGCAGTGTGCAGCGAGGGATTCATTTCTCTCAGCTCATTCAGCATCAGGTCTGATTTCACCGTCAGAACCTGCTGCTTTCAGCACATCTTCAAGACTGAGGTTTTCCAAAGCGATCTCCATCAGTTTCTCATCTTCTTCACTGACATTCAAGAGTTCCCCGTTGGCCAGGGCCGCCTCATCTCCAAGGAGTGCACCAACAGACATCTCAACCCTGAGTCCGGCAGCCAGAAGTGTCTCATTTCCAGACTCTGAGCCCACGAGCTCTTCATATCCGTAGGTTGCGCCGAGGGGCTC